CCATCAGAATACGTCCAGCAAAGATTACTTCCCTTATCTAAGTGCTAAATGTTAATGCCAGAGAAAAATAACTTAAATCAGACAGTTCTTTCTGCAGTATAAATGAAGAGCAGGGCAAGCAGAGTTAATTTAATCTACCAGGTTACTGTGTGTGTGTGTGCGTGTGTGTGTGAGGCTTTCTTTTTTTCTTCTTTTTTTTTAATGAAAAAGTAATACATGCATATAGTTCAATGCTCAAAAGGTATAAAAATATATATATAGAGAGAGAAAAGCATGAGTCCCTCCCTCTCTGTGCCCTAACTCCATAGTTCCCTTCCCCAGAGCTCACCACCATAACCAGTTTCTGGTGAATCCTGCCAGAAATATTCTATGTACATATGAGCAGATGCTTATGAGAGTACTTCAGAAAGTTCATGGGAAGATTTGTATTATCTTTAAATTCTATTTTTCCGCGAACTTTCTGAAGTACCCCTGTGTGTGCGTGCACATGTTTTACATAGATGATAACACAGACATATATCCTGCTTTGAACCTTTCTCTTTTCACCTTACTATGGCCTAGGATTCTACCGTAGCTATTCATAAAAATCAGCTCGTTCTTTTTTAATGGCTATAAAATATTGCACTGAGTGGATGAGTGCATCATGCTTTGCAAATCCCTCTTCTCATTTGCTTCATTTTCATGAACACCATCCTTGTCTCTCCCCACCTAGGAAAAGTACTATGTGGAACAAATACCATTTTTAAATTGAGAGATTGTAATAGATGATATGAATTCCATTGTTCAATTTCACTAATATTTTGCAATACCCTTTGGGATAGTTTGAGGTATCTTGACATATCACAGAATTAAGAAAATTATTGCACTAGAGGAAACTACCAGAAATGGATTGGTCCTTTTCAAAGCTAAGCACTGGCTCCTGAAAGTCAAAGAGGGAACATAAACAATCAACTGGGATGCTCCAAAGAGTTACCAATATCAGCTTTCCATAAATCACCTGTTTTTACACTAGACTGTGAGCTCTTTGCTGTAGCCAAGGACTAACTCTCACTGTATTTCATATTCTGAGTGCCTACCACATAAGAGATGCAAAAAACCCAAAACCACAAAAACCCTACAACCAAAAAGTTTTATTGAATTAATGAACAGAATTGACCATGTGTTGTACACAGACTGAAACCATCCAAGCATATGACCACAAGTGATCAAAATATCAATTTATAGCATCCATATAACTAGAAAGCAAAGAATACCATATCCAATCAGCCATTATTTACAAAGTACCCAGTACCCTCTAAGCCCCAGGCTTGGTGCTGGTGACACAATGATATGCAACAGAGACACAGTCACTGCCTCTAGTGCCCTCAGGCACACTGGGGAGACAGATAATAAAATATCTAATCTCAGGAGTTTTGATAGCATGAAGTACAGGATGCCCATGGGAGCACACAGGGAGGGCACCAAATCTAGGGAAAGTGGTGTCTTAGCTGGGATCTAAAGAAGAACAGGAGTTTGCCAAGTGAAGACAGAAGAGAAGAGTCGTCCAGGAAGAGGGAATAGCATGAGCAGAGCCCCAGAAGCAAAAAAGAACAGTTTGAGGCTAACGAAGTCTGAGGTTGGGAGTAGCCAGAGATTGTAGAGATGGGCCAGGGTCAGATCGTGAAAGGTTTTAGAAGCCCTGTCAGTGAGTTAAGAATTTATCTTGAGGGCAACAGGAAGCCTGGTATAGGGAGATATTTATACTGATTTAAAGATTTCTCCAGCATTCTCTGGCTGTCCCATGCCCTAAGCTACCTAACAACCCTGGCATAGGGACAGCTGCAGGAAAGATATTTTCAGGTAGGCTTAAAGGTCATCAACACTGCCCACCCAGCTTTTTAATGGTGTCATACTATTCATATCCTTCTACAACATGCTTTTTTTTTTAACATTTACTATTGTTGTGAAAGTTATCCATGTCGATATTTATAGACCTCATTTATTTTTAAAAACTACAGAATTCATGTATGAATACAACACTATTTATCCACTCTCCTGATGATGACTACTTTGGTCATTTCTAAATATTGCTATTACAAGCAATGCTGCTACTACAGTGAATGTTCTTCTTCTATATGTAATATTGTATATATGAGGGTACTTCAGAAAGTTCATGGAAGGGCTGGCCAGTTAGCTCAGGTGGTTAGAGTGTGCTGTTACAATACCAAAGTCAAGGGTTTGGATCCCTGTACCAGTCAGCCACAAAAAAAAAAAAAAAAAAAAAGTTATGGAAAACTACAATTAAAAGTTAATACTAATCTTTCCATGAACTTTTTGAAGACTCCTCCTATGTGAGTTTCTCTAAAAATATATATCTAGGAGTGGAACTGCTGAGTCTTAGGGTATGAGTGTCTTCAAACTGCTCCAATTTGAGTACCAGTTACATGCCCTCCAGCATTATACAAAAGTTCCCATTGCTCCACATCCTTGACAACTCTTTTTTTTTTTTTTTTTTTGTCTTTTATCTTTTTCCGTGTCCGGCAACGGATCGCAACCCTCAGTGTTGCCCCCGTACCGGACCAGGGACCGGCAACGGGATTGCAACCCTCGGTGCTGCTCCCGCGCCTCGCTCAGCCAGTGAGCTGAACCGGTCTGTACGTGGGATCCGAACCCTCGGGCGGGAGCGCCGCCGCGCTTCACAAGCGGCGCACTTATCCAGTGCGCCACCGGGCCGGCCCTCCTTGACAACTCTTAGTAACGATATTTATGAAATCTGATTTAGAGTGTGTCACTCCTGTGCTCAAACCCTCCAATGGATTCTCACTCAAGAAAAGCCAAAGCCCTCACTGTGACTTACCTACATGATCTGCCCCTCCACACTTTCTCTCTGACCTCATCTCCGATTAGTCCCACCTTGTTCACTGTGGTCCAGTCACACTAGTCTCTTCGCTGTTCTTTGAACATACCAGACCTGTGTAGTTGCTGATCCTTCTGCTTCAAATGCTCTTTCCTTAGGTGTCTACATGAATCAGTCCCAATTCTTTCAGGTCTTTAATCAAAATTCACCTTTCTAAAATTTCCAATTCACATACCTAAACAAACATTTCATGTCCTTCCTCTCTGCTTTTAAATTTTCACCTTAACATTTGTTACTAGCACACTTTTACTTTTATATTTTACTTTTCTTCTTTGTTTATTGTTAGGCCGTCTATAATCTACTGAGCTGAAGAGAAGGGATTTTTGTCTGTTTCTCACTGCTGTATCTCAAGTACTTAGAATAGTAAGTGCTCACTGTCTGTTGCATTAATTGAATGAACGAATATGAGCCAATTTGTATATGTTTGCTAAAATGATGGGCATAAATAAATATCTTGTTTTAGTTTTTTATTTCCCTTATTACAAGTGGGAGTAAGCATCTTTTCATATATTTATTGGTCATTTGGATTTCCTTTTCTGTAAATCTGCAAATTGCCCATTTTCCCCCAGAGTTGTTTATTTTATTCTTATACTTTGTAGGAGTTCTACACATATTCTTGCCTCTCATCTTTAATGGTTAGGGGCATTGCAAATATTTCCCGATTTGTGGTTACTTTTTGACTTTGTTTATGGTTTATTATTTTGTTGTGTAGAAATTTTTCATTTTAGTTGAAATTTAGTCAAATTCATCAGTCTTTTTCTTAAACTGTTCAGACTGTCATCTTTTTTCCTAACTATCTTCCTCCAATCCACCACACCCCACAAGGCCTAGTCCTCTCTGCTATAAAACATCTCATAGCTTAGTTGGTTAGACCACGATGCTGATAACATGAAGGTCTGAGGTTTGATCCCTGTACCAGCCAGCAAAAACCAAAAAACAAAAAATTTCACCTATATTGTACATTCTTCTTTTCACAACACCAGCAGTCTCATGAGCAAGCTTTGGGTTCAAACTCTGGCTTTGTCATGAGAGGCAGCATAGCATAGTGATGAAGAATATGGATTATGAGCCACAGTATTAATTTGAAAACTGAGCTTGGCACTTATTAGCTGTATGATCTTAGTGAGTTAGTAGACCTCTGTGTGACTCAGTGTTCTCATCTATAAAATGGGGATAATAGTATCTGCCCCATAAAGTTGGATTGTTATAAAGATTAAATGAGTTAATATAGGTTCTGCCCTAATAACAGTGTCGGGTACATAATAAGCACTTTTCATGTGTTTGCTATTATTGTTAATATTGCTAACTCTCTGACTATGGGCAAGTTACCCTCCCCAAGCCTCAGTTTTCTTTTTTGCAAAATAAGGCTACCTTGGAATATGGGAAAATAGTATAAAATAGTAAAATAGTGGTATCTCCAGGCTTGGCTAAACAGATGTTAGTTCTCTCTCCCTCCTTGGGGCTGGAGACTGTGGGTCTTATCTTAAAATCCTCAGCCTCTAACACAGGGCCTCACACAAAATAAGGTGCTCAAAAACTGTATGAGCACCTGCTCTGTGCCAAGCCCACTGCCAGGCACTGAACACATGGCTTATTCAGACACAGAGCCTGCCCCTCAAGAAGTCCTCAGACTAGAAAGAATGCATGAGACAGCTAAAAGAGAAACCACCTTGACAACCTTTAGAGGCACAGGACAACGCCAAAGTTTTCACACCAGGCTCCCTGGAGCTCCAGAAATTCCACAGAGCCCATATTTATAATCAAAATATATAATTTGCTTTACTATTTATTATTTAGGATTGAGCACATATATTAAGAAACCTTACTGAGCATCCGGTTCCTCATTTGAAAAGTAGGGATTCTTTGCAAGGGGTTGTCAGCCATCAGAGAGATCGGGGATGACAGCCATCCCTAGCCCAACCCTCTTTCGGACTTCCGGGGCTAGTGATCAGATCCCAAGGGGAGCCAGCTCATCTAAGGACAGAGCTAGAACTCAGCACATCAATGAAAATGTGAGACTACTTCTCCACATTCACCCCCCACACACACCCAAATCCTCCATAAATTAAAATCAACAATCTACTCTCAGTTAAAATGATTTAATTTGTCTCAAGTTTCTAATGTCATTTAAAGACTTTTGTAGGAAATACTATACTTGTAATCATGGCATTAACACTCATATAATACATAATTGCATTTTCCCCAAATTTCTTTGCAAGGGTCATGACTGCAGCTCAGAAGAGTCGAATGAAACTGTGCAGAATTGCAACTAACAGTGCAATTCTCAACTTTCCAGGTGACTCGCACACCTACCCAAGTTCAACAGGAATACGGTAAGGAATGAAAACAGCACCACACATACCATAGAGATCTGGATTGCTGCGGATATATAGCCTCACAAAGTTTTTTCCGGGTATTGGCAAAAGAGACCCTTTTATTCTGTCAAAGACCTGGAAAACAATATGCCAGTAACTCTACCAAAGTATTTTTTTTAAGTTTAAAAAAATTCAACTACTACAAAATTGAAACTCAATCATTAGAGCTTTTATGATAATATTTTCAAATGCTAATAACCTGGGCCGGCCCGTGGCTCACTCGGGAGAGTGCGGTGCTGATAACACCAAGGCCCTGGGTTCGGATCCCATAGTAGGGATGGCCGGTTTGCTCACTGGGTGAGCGTGGAGCTGACAACACCAAATTAAGGGTTAAGATCCCCTTACCAGCACACAAAGGCTTTCCCATCATTTGATTGTTTAACCATAGAAGAAACAAGTCTCCATTACATGTAAAAGGAAAAGTAAAATTGATTTACAAACCTGGTAAGTGTCCACATCAAAGAACGTTTGATAATATTCAAATGTCCAGAAGGGGGAGCTTTTCTTCTGTCCAGCGAGTAACTGTCACAAGTAAAATAAAACATAATGAACACAGAAGCAATTTCCTAATTCCAGCTGCACAGAGAAAGAGAGGGAGTTGATCTAATGGAAAACCAAAGTGTATGAAACACCAAGCATTCGGGCCGGCCCGTGGCTCACTCGGGAGAGTGCGGTGCTGATAACACCAAGGCCCCAGGTTCGGATCCCATATAGGGATGGCCGGTTTGCTCACTGGCTGAGCGTGATGCTGACAACACCAAGCCAAGGGTTAAGATCCCCTTACCGGTCATCTTTAAAAAAAAAAAAGAAACACCAAGCATTCAACAACCAACTCTGCAACAGCCAATGCCCAACTCAGCCTGATATAACAACAAGCACTCATTTTGAGTGAAGTCACACAAAAAGGCTTCAAATCTTGACCCCTCCACTGGGAAGAGCTTCGGCAAATCACTAGATTCCTCTCAGGCTTAGTTCCTTTATCTAAAACGTACAGCTCACAAGATCTACTTCATAGGATTATAGGGAGGATTAGACTAAATAGTATATAGAATATATATTATGTACAATGATATATACATATATACAGACACATGCACATAACAGAAGGCAGTCAGTGTAAACCTCTTTTCCTCCTCCAGCCCTCCAAGATCGTTCCTACTATTGCCACCAAAAACCTGATATATTGACTCACTCGAAAATAGTAAAAATATTACTCCTCTGACAAAAAACAAACTCCAATTTAGAAGAGGCACATGAAGAGGGTCATTCCTGTCCCAATAACACTTGCCCTATGCCAAGAATCATAACTACCATCTTCAAATATCTGAAGAGGATTCATACAGAAAAAGGCACAGTTGGACTCTGAGCAGCTGTGCAGAAAAAAAGTAAATGTTATGGGCAGATATTTCTTGTTCATTATGGAGGAAATGATTTTCACAAAGTCCAACAGTGACAGCAGCTGCCTTACATGGTACTGAACAGGCCGTTCCTGGAGGTATTCAAGTGTTGTCTTTCTGATATACTACAGAAGGCAGTAATATCTTGGGAGGGAGGCTGAAACAGAGGTTATTTGCAACTCTAATATTACAAGATAGTGAAACCAGAGACCCATATTCCATAAACGAGGCCAAGGAGTTCTGTCACTGTCATAGAATATTGATAACCTCTTCCCAACTCACAGACAAAATTAAGATAATGGATAGAATTTTTTCAATTTTAAGATTTTTTCCTCTTATACATTTCTTCTTAAAATTTGATGCCTGCTGTTTGTCAGTGTGGTGGTTAATTTTACGTGTCAACTTGTCTGGGCCATGGTGTCCAGATATTGGTCAAACATTCTGGATTTTTCTGTGAGAGTGTTTTTGCACGACATTTACATTTTAATGGGTAGAATTTGAGTAAAGCAGATTGCCCTCCATAATGTGGTTGGGCCTCAGCCAATCGTTTGAAAGCCTGCATAGAACAAAAGGCCAACCCCACCCTTCATCCACCCACCCCAGCAAGAGGGAATTCTTCAGCAGACAGCCTTTGAACTGCAACTGTTTTTCTAAGTATCTAGCCTGCTGACCTCCCTCATCAGACTTTGGATTCCCCAAAGGCTATAGTTTGAACGTCCCCCAAGCTCATGTTGAAGCTTAACCCCTATTTTAATAATGTTTAAAAGGGTGGGAAATCCAACTAGAGTATTTGAAAGGTAAGGCCTTTAAGAGGTGATTGGACTTTAAGAGAGTCCTCATGAATGGATTAATCCATTCATCAATTAATGGGTTAATGGATAAACAGGTTATTACAGGAACGGCACTGGTGGCTTTATAAGCGGAGCAAGTGAGCACATTAAGATGCTCTAGTTCCCCCACCATGGGATGCCCTGTGCCACCACAGGACACTGCAGTCCCTATCAGGAAGATGGCCCTTATCAGATTCACTGCCTCAACCTTGGACTTCCCAGCCTCCAAAATGTCAAGAAATAAATTTTGTTTCTTTATAAGTCACCCAGTTGCAGGTATTCTGTTATAAGTAACAGAAAACTGATTATTACACCAAGCCTCCACAATCACATAAGCCAATTCCTTAAAATAATCCTCTATATATACAATCCTATTGGTTTTCTTTCTCTATAGAACCCTAACACACTCAGATGTACTAATAATCACTCCTGGATCCTGAGGGTGCCAACTACTTTAATAAAAACTTAACATGCATTAACTCTAGTGCAGAGGCAAGGAGCACAGGCACTGGACTCAGATGGCCTCAGTTTAAAGTTCCATCTGCTACCTGTCAGTTGTGTGTCCTGGGGCAAGTTACTTAAACTCTACGCCTCAAGTTTCTCGTTTATAAAATGAGAATAAGAATCTCCTTGTTCAGGGCCGGCCCGGTGGCGCACTGGATAGTGCGCCGCTTAGGAAGCGTGGCGGCGCTCCCGCCCTAGGGTTCGGATCCCATATACAGACCGGTTCCCGCTCACTGGCTGAGCGAGGCGCGGGAGCAACACCGAGGGTTGCAATCCCGTTGCCGGTCCCCGGTCCGGTACGGGGGCAACACTGAGGGTTGCGATCCGTTGCCGGACACGGAAAAAGACAAAAAAGACAAAAAAAAAAAAAAAGAATCTCCTTGTTCATAGTGTGTTTTGAGGATTAAATGAGATGACACAAGTAAGGATCTTTAAATAGTGTTGGCAGCTATTAAATACTGAATACATACTAGACACTGCTATGATAATGATAGCAAGAGTCAGCATATTATTTTCTCTTATTACAGATGAGGAAACCAAGGCTGAGGGAAGTTAAGGTACCTTTCCCAAGACCACACAGCTATTACTATTGGCAGGACCAGGATTCAAACGCAGGCTCTTTTTTTTTTTTTGTCTTTTTTTTTTTTATCTTTTTCCATGTCCGGCAACGGATCGCAACCCTCAGTGTTGCCCCCGCACCGGACCGGGGACCGGCATCGGGATTGCAACCCTCGGCGTTGCTCCCGCGCCTCGCTCAGCCAGTGAGCGGGAACCGGTCTGCATGTAGGATCCGAACCCTCAGGTGGGAGCGCCGCCGTGCTTCCCAAGCGGCGCACTTATCCAGTGCGCCACCGGGCCGGCCCAAACTCAGGCTCTTAAGTCTGAGATTTTCCCACAATATTTAGTATCTAGTGGTACTTAATTTAGCATAAAATTCAATACTCACTTTGATACTCATGGAGTTCCACAGAGAGCATCAGGTCTCCAAGAACTCCACTATTTTAATAAGCCTGTGTATCTACTGCTATAAACTGAGTGCTCCTGTAGTGCACTACAATCACAATTCAGCTTGTAAAATATTAATAGAAATACCATTTTTCTTAAACGCACCGTGTACATGGACATATATCTTTGTGATCAAAATCATCCACGTGATTTATTCACCATCCAACTAGACGGAGGAGACCTAAATCTGAGAATCCTCCCTCCTTCTACCTCACCTAACCCTTCCCATCAAGTCCTACTAAGCCCACTCCTAAATATCTGTGTCCAACTCTAGTTCAGTCTTCACTTCCAGTCTAGAGCACTTCATTTGTCTCCTACCTGCTCTTCTGGTTTCGAGTCCATCTCCCTCCAATTCACTCTCCACATGGCCACCGTTTGTTTAATATCTTTAAAAGTATCTGGCCATATTGTTTAGAATCTTTCAGTAACTCCTGATAGTTTTCAGAATACAATTCATACTCACTGAATTGAGTCCCAGCCTACTGGTGTAGCCTCATATGTCTTCATCTATATTTTGCTTCCAATTTAGGTGAAGATGGGGACATTCCTGTTGGTACCATGTTCTTTCATGCCTTTGCGACTGCATCAAAACTGGTCCCCTTGACTAGATCACCCTTCCCCACCTTCCTCCCCTGACGACCTTATCCTCCTTCATCAGACTTGGTCCAAGTGTCACTGCCTCCAGGAAGCCTTCCCTAACCCCTCTCTAGGCTCCTGCCACCTGGTGCTCCCTTACACCAGTGGGCTTCCCACAGACAATAATGGTCTGTTTCCCCCACCAAGGCAGAGGCCATGTGTCATTTGTCTTTGTGTTGTCACTGCCTGGCACTGTATCTGGCACACAGCAGATAGCGATTAAATGGATGAACGATCTTTAAAAAAAATTAAAGGGAAAAAATTCCAAAGACAAGTTCAAACCTCAGTTTTGTCAGAATCATCATTTCCCAGTAACTCATCATCCTCTTCTCTCCCTGGGCTTCTGGGGGGTCCTGGATGATGCTTTGGGGTTTCACCAGGATCTTCAATGCTTATTGTGGTGACATCTGGGTTTGCTGCTAGAGAAGTGGCTGCATCACCAAATTCTGAAACCAATTAGAGCACAAGGGTCTCAGAAACCATACCCACACTAGAAATGCTATATTTTTAATTTAAAGACAAGCTTTTACAACCTCAGCTTTGCTCTAGAGCCTATCTGACACAAATGGCAAAAGGATCTGAAAAAAACCTCGTCTAGAAATCAGTCTCACATAGAAAGATGACTAGAAAGACAACAGAATTTGGAGTCAGACCCAGATTTTAATTCTGGCTCAGCTACTTACTAACTACATGAGACAGAGTAAGTTAACCTCTATAAACCTTAGTGTTCCCATCTGTACAACGGGGAGAATAATATTTATTTTAAAGAATTTCAAGAGAATTAGGAGTTTTACCAAAATAAAGTCCTAAACTTCTCTTCTTTGATTCAAGTTCAAAACATTTTAGTGGAAGTTATTTTTCCAATAAGTCCATATAATTGCTATAGAAAATATGGGGGGCTGGCCAGTTAGCTCAGTTAGTTAGAGTGAGGTGACATAACACCAAGGTCAAGGGTTCGGATCCCCATACAGGCCAACCACCAAAAAAAAAAGAAAAGAAAATATGGGGATAAAAATGAAAGTGGAATACATAGAATAAAAATCACTGTTAGTCCATCCCACTACATAAAGGCAAACACAATTAACATTTTTACATTTCCTTTTCTTTACATAGTGAGATTCATGCCACTGATGATCATTTATTTGTTCAACAACTATTTGCTGAATACCTACAATGTGCTAAGTACTGATCTAAAATGTAATAGCACTATAGTAAACAATTTTGTATCCTGCTTTGTCTTCTGAGGATTATATGCAAAACTGATTTTCATAACAGTCTTTAAAATGATCACTTATGTGGCTGCATAATATTCCATCAGCAAAGATTTTATTACAAATATGCAGGAGTGTCGGTGTTGAGAAAGCTTTTGGGGTTACTACCTTAGGATCAATTATTGAGGTGATCACAAGGTCAAAGGGTGCAAACCATTTTTAAGGCCCTTGACCCATACTGCTAACTGCGTTTCAGACATCTTGGTAAAAGACTGTTGGCCATGTTCAAGCTCTGGATTACGAGTTCTAATATCTCTCTGAACTTTTTCTCCAGCATTTTCATAGTTTGTAGATACACATTTAAATGATCATTTAGCAAATGAGTGTCTCCCTCACTAGACTGAGAGCTTCATAATGGAAGAAACTGTTTTGTTCACCCTTCTATTTCTGATAACTAGAACAATGGCCTGGTTCATAGTCACACTCATGAGATACTTATTGATTAAATGAAGGAATGATCTGATCACATTTCATCAATATTAGCTTTTTATACTTTTATATCTACTCCAGCGTATAAACAACTTTAATTTTTTTTTATCTCTGGTATCTAATACAGTCCTAAGTACAAAGAAAGTGCTCAATAAATGTTTGTTGAACTAACGTGGGAACTCTATAAACATTTTCTGTAATCACTGCACTAAATTTATGATACCTGTTATCAATCTGAAGGGCTATTTAGCAAAAAAGAACTGCTAGTGTGGACAAACAGGAAAAACCTGAATGTGGCCAACAGACTTTTAACAAGATGTCTGAAATACAAGAGTACTTCAAAAAAGTCTGTGGAAAAATTCGTATTCTCTTTTAATTCTATTTTTCCATTAACTTTTTGAAGTACTCTCATAATTTTTTTTTTTTTTTTTTTTT